CAGACATCAACAGCATCTTAGATGTTCTGCAGGTGATCCTAAGGTTGACAGTGCTAGCAGAATTAGTAAGAAGCCAGAAGGATAAGACTAAAAGGTCTGACATCTCTCCAATAAGACTTAGAAGCAGAGGACAAAGATGGTGAGAGTCAGCAAGTTGGTGTATAGAGTCAATACACCTGTGAGGATGGAGATGAAACCTGAGGGGCTGGCAAAAGAAGGTACAGCTGTGTACCACTCTGCTCACTGGGGCTTCAGGTGGCTTGGAAACACTCACTGGTTTTCAGGGCTTCTAATAAGGATGCCAGACAGTTCTTACCTTCTTTTTTTGTTTTTTGTTTTGTTTTGTTTGTTTTGTTTTTTGTCTTTCTGCCAACTTTCCTGTCATATTTGTGGTGATCTGGTATAGTCACTGTGGCATGGGCCATGGGGAAAGTGTGAAATAGCTTCTCATTTGGGAAGTCTAGCCATCTGGTTAGTTAACTCAAGTTTTCAGTCCCCTGATAATGAGACACTGATGTCTGCTCATTGTCATGTCCATCCCAGGTGTTCACTGACTGGCAATTTCCCCCTTTCACTGGTGCATTACAATAGGCTTTATCATGAATTAATAATAGCATTAGGTTAAGAGTGACTTTAAATCCAGAATAAAACTAGGATGGGGAAAGGGTACAAGACTCCATTAGGAAAACATGGAAACTTATTCAGTTTGCCTTAAAGGATTTTAAGAATTATCCTGCCTTTTTTTTTTTTAAATTCAGGGGAAATAATTTGGAAAATTGCTTGTTTCTTTCCTTCCTACCTTCTTTCCTTCCTTCCTTCCTTCCTTCCTTCCTTCCTTCCTTCCTTCCTTCCTTCTTTTCTTTTTCGAGACAGGGTTTCTCTGTGCCTGAGGAGGTTATTCTGGAACTAGCTCTTGTAGACAAGGTTAGTTTCGAACTCACAGAGATCCTCCTGCCTCTGTCTCCCGAGTGCCGGAATTAAAGGTGAGTTCCACCACTGCCCGGCTTGGTTTATTTCTTTATTCTTTAAGATTTATCTGGCTTTGAAATCTGAAACTGGTAGTTCTCTTCATATGGACTCAGCAATACTGTTTCCTGACGTTTCCTGAGATTTATAGTACTTGTATTCCCTTAAATGTTGAGTAAGTTCCTTACAGAGCCAACAAATTGGCTTGTGGGGATTTGATGCTTATTTGAATAGCAAGCCAAATTTTTCTTCTCCTCTTTAATTTTTAACTTAATTATCTCTCTTTTAAGAATTTCATATATGAATATTGTATTTACGCCATTTCTCTTTTAGTTACTCCCATGCCCTCTTCTCAAATCTGTGCCCTTATTCTTTAATTGCTATTGTTATGTGTGTGTATAAATTTATAAATACAACCTGCTGAGGTCATATAGTTTTGCTTATGTGTATTTAGGGCTGACCTCTTTTTGAGAGTGTCTCGTGTAGCTGAGGCTAATGCTTAACCCCTGAATCCTCCTGTCTCCATCTCCCAAGTGCTGCCATTGCAGGCAGAGTATGCTGCCACCACTAGCATGCACCTGGCTAGAGAAAACATTTTTCTCTCTTTTTCATCAATTAATTAATTAGTTTTATGTGTATTGGTGTATTGCATGTGTATCTGGGTCCCATCTGCATACAGAGCCCATAGAGACCAGAAGAGGGTGTCAGATCTCCTGTTATGGATGGTTGTGAGGCACCATGTGGGTGCTGGGAATCAAATCTCAGTCCTAAGAGCTCTCAACCACAGAGCTTCTCTCCAGCCTTCCAGTTCATCTTTTTTTTTTTTTTTTTTTTTTCTTTTGAGGCAGGGTTTCTGTGTAGCTCTGTTGACCATGTGGGCCTCGAACTCACTGAGGTCTGCCTGCCTCTGCTTCCCGAGTGTTGGGATTAAAGGTATTCACCACCAGACCAGCTAAATATTTTTTAAAAGAAATAGTACGTAAGTAATCTATACCTCCCATTACATCACTGAGAGGCAGTTTGTCTCATTGCTCCTGCTACAGGGTGTGGTTGCGATGAATGTCACCTATTAAAAAGGGTATTGCTTAGATCAGGTCTCTTAAATTGCTCCCACTCATGACCGCTTTTTGCCCAAGAAATTCTTATGCAATCCCAGACATATGAGTGTATAAAATACAAGTTGAACACTTATTGATAAGTTATTAATGGTTTATTTGAAAACAATCTTTGGTATACACATACTTGTACTATTTATTAAACATTAAAGCAAATATGCATACTGATAGATGGACCCACTCGTTTGTCTAGTACAATCCAACTCAAAGATAGACTAATTTGATATTATATGCCGAGAAATGGTAGTAAGAAAATACTAGGTTCTCGTTGTATGTCCCTAAACCACAGCATTTCTTTAAGAGCAGGAAACTTTGTGTGTGCAGCAAAAACACTGCTGTTGGTAGAGAGCAATAGCCTCTAGTTTGAGCAGAGGGGTTGCAAACAGTATTGTTTGGTGTTGCTTGGTATGATGGTATGCACAGTCAAATGCATGTGTGTGCTCAGAACCAAGACCTCAGTAGAATTCCATTATGTGGCATGGCCAGCACTTCTGGAGCACCTTGGATTCCTTATGAGTTTATTTTTTAATGGATTGGGGCCATTGTGCATTCAGAAACCATTAGAGCCAGTAAGTTTTTCTCTACTCAGATTTTGGTTATGATGCCATGACCTGTTAAAAGGTTTCTATCACTCTGTTGGGAATGTCCTTTCTCCTTTCCTTTCTGGATAGATAATCAGGGGTGGTGCTGGAGATTATTTTTTCAACAAATTTTCACTAAGTAGTTTTAATTTCTTCAATGCTTTGATCATGTGTTCTGTTGATAGAGGTCTGTGTATCTGAGAACCTACAAAGCATATTTCCCATGGATACAGTCCATGACCTGTCCCTCCAGATATCTTAAAAGACCATCTGCCTGCTGTTTAGGTGCTTCACACAAGTTCCCAAGCGTCAGAAAATATGTCACAAGCATTGGGTTTCCAGGAGCTTGTCTGATTTTCCTTATTATGTAGTCCAGCATCATGTAGACTGGGTACTTAACTTTTGTTGTTTGTTTGAGAACAGTTTGTTCTAGCTGTTCACTTACCCTGAGCCAAACATTTGGACCTTTTATTCTGGTATAAACTGTGCTAGAAAACCAAGAACGGGGGCTTTGCCCTCGGATTTTGGTGTTCCCTTTGAAGATCTTTCAGTACATGAAGTCTCTCACACTGAAGAAAACCTAACTAGCTTGTTTGGAAGTGAGTTAAAACGCTATATTTTAGCTGTCCAGTCATTAGTTCTAGGAGTAGAGTGGGTGTTCACAGTATAGAAGTTGTTTTGTTTGGTTTTGACTGTAAACAGAGGGGCAGGAGTCTGTTCTTACCCTGATATGGAATAGCTTCAGAAGTGGTCAGTTCTCAGCTAGGTTTCATGGTGTCCCTAACCTCAGCACTCAGGAGGCTGAGGCAAGAGAAAGTCCACATTGAAGCCAATATGGGCTACATAAGAACCTGTTTCAGGAAATAATTAATTGGTAATTCTTCATTTTCTCTGCTGAGTCATAGAACAGTATAAAATTAATCATAGCAGTAGATAGTGTGTTTTTGTTTAGCCTATTGATTACTGATAACATTGTTTGGCCTTAGATGAAGAAGTGTCAGGTGACATTAGCAATAAGAGTTATTCATGTAGTCAGGGGTGGTGGTGGCATACACCTGTAGTCCCAGCACTTGGAGGCAGAGGCAGGTAGATTTCCAGGAGTTCAGGACTGTTAACACAGAGAAACCCTGTGTCAGGGAAATGGAGAAGAAAAAAAAAGTGAATCATGTATTTAAAAATACATAATATACCACTGAATTCAGATCTCTGTGTGAAAGCAGACTTTTTATTCTAATGACACTACTCTGGATAAAGGTTGAGGGTAGCAAAGTAGGAGCAGAGGGAGAGCCTCAGTGTTGTCTATATTACCTGCTGAAGACTGAGCAGTGCATACCTGTGATCTTACAGACTCTTTAAGTCTACCAGGAATGCCTCATAAATGTCAGTGTTCACCCGAGGTGACCTAAGGAAGGGTACAGAAAGAATGGGCAAAATGACTCCTGCGCACACACACACAGTGGAGCTGGCGTGTGGGGGGAGAAAAAAGAGCTGTCCAAGAGTGGATGTGGAAAAGCCCTGGGCTGGATACGGGAAAGGACTTGGTTTATTGGCCTGTGTCCTGTGTGAAGAGATATAGGAGCTGAAAGACAGGTTAGTGTCATGTTGTGAGAGATACCTTGAGTTCTGTGGGAAAGTGTACTTTGTTCTCTCTGTTTTTGTGTATGGGGAATGATTTTATTTGGTTTTCTTTTTCATTTTTCTTGAGGTGATGTCTCATACCCAGGCTAACCTGGAACTCATTATATAATACAGACTGACCTTGACTTTGCAACCCTCCTGCCTCTACCTCCTGAGTTCTAAGATTATAAGCATGAGCCACCAGACCCAGCCCCTAAAACCTCAATCTGTAGCTGTTGGAAGTGAGTGGTAGAAAGTAGTCTTCCAGAAGATCCATAGGTGACAGGTGCTAGTGGTCTTGAGCTATGGCGCTCTGCTGTTTCTTAGCTGTTACCTCATTGGTGCCTGACTGATAACACCCTGTCTTTAGCAGAGCACCCGAGAAGCTCTTAGTTCTCTCAAAAGAACATGGCTGTCGAAGGATGCTTTAACGTTCTGAGAGGACAGGCTCTCCCTGTGTAGTTAAGGAATATAATTACCAGCAGACCCCACTTGTACTACTACCCTCTAATCTAGGACCAGGGCTAGACGGGAAATTGAAGAACTGGGTGATGTTTTATTTACCTATCTGATGACATCAATACATGAGCACAGCAAATACTTTTGTTATTATTTCTGGTGTTTTAACTCTATTAGTCTTATGTAAGCTCCGTTCTCAGGGGTTTTTCAGGTGCATTAAGAAATTATATTTTCACTGAAGAAAATACCTTTCTTTTGGCAGATTTCCTACTTATAAAAGACAATGACTACTGATGAAGGCACCAGTAATGATGGAGAAAACCCAGCAGCCATCGTGGTTGAACAGGGAGAAGATATTACTATCAAAAAAGATAGAGGAGTATTAAAGGTAAGGCCATTGTCCTGCCTTAGTCTTCTCCTAAGTAGTTGGGATTACAGGACTGTGCCACCAAATAGGCCAAATTCTTCCATTTTATAGGTGAATAAACTGAAACTAAGATGTTAAATGACTGTCATCACACGTTTTGTGTAGTTAATATTTCTCTGATGAGCTTATCTTGCATATTCCCAGTGTTCCTGCCATGTGGAAATTCAGTGGCTTATGTGGGAGCCTCACCTCTGTGCTGGTCTTCTGAACTACATGGGTTCCTGTTGTCTTGCTCTGTGCTGTCAGTCCATGATGTCTTCTTCCTGAGGCTTCTCAGCCCTGGAACTCTAGGAAACTTCTCAAGACACTGAAGATTTTTCAGGCTGTCCGCAGTATCTCCAACCTCATCTTTTCAGGGTGCTGCATTCAGAGACTTGGTCTTGAAGGCCCCTCAGACTCTGCGTATTCTGTAACAGAATCCTGGGTGATTCATAAAAGAGATGTTTATTTTGGCTTACAGGTCTATAGCCTGAGAAGCCCAAGAACACAGTCCTGCATCTCCTTGCATCTAGCAATAAATAGTTCAGTTCACAGTAGAAGCACAGGGGTAAGCAAGCAGTCTGGGAGACAAAAACAAGGAGCAGGCAAGCTTTTCACAACTTGTGTGATAAACCCAGTCTCTTTAATGGGAGCTCACACAAGTAAGGCATTGATTCCTCCTAACTACCTCCTTCCCTCTTGAAGGCCTCATGTCCCAACACTGGCCCAGTAGCAATCAGATTTCAGTGTAAGCTTTAGAGAGGACAGATCCTGTTCGTACTTTCTTCAGACCACAGCATCCCCGTTGGGAGCACACATTGCTGCCTTGCCCACTCAGAGCCCCTAAATAAACAGTAAGCTAGAGTCTCCTTTGTTCTAAAAACAATGAGTATAACATCTGTTAACTGTCTAGATCCTCCAGGTCACCATATGGGGCTTTGGGTGAAGATTCTGTGGGTTTGGCAGCTGTGACCTGGAGCATTTGTCAACCTCCCTGAGTGGTTTCCTGTTTGCAAAATTTGTAATAATACTAATTAAGAAAAATAAAAGTTGGGTTTACATTTTTCAAATTAATTAATTTTATTTTTATCTTTAAGGCAACTTAAGATTTAAGCACAAGTTTCATCTCGCTGGTGAGGCAGATACACACACACACACACACCCCAGCCACACTTCAGAATGATGCCTCTTTCTATTGCAGATGGCCACCTGACTGCCATAATCCCATCCTACATGCCTGGGTGTCATTAAAGTACAAATCCCATTGATGACTGCACCCGGGCCCTAGTGTCACAAGCAGGTTAGGGATCAGAGTCCCTTGAGGATTTCATGTTTTTTTTTTTTTTTTTTTTTTTAAGTTTTTTTAATTTTTTTTCTTTTAAGGCCTGGAGGAAGCCAGGTGATGGTAGGGCATACATTAATCCCAGCACTAGGGAGGCAGAGATGTGAGCCTGGACTATAGAGTGAGTTCCAGGGTAGCCAGGGCTACACAGAGAAACCCTGCCTCGAAAAACCAAAGAGAGAGAGAGAGAGAGAGAAAAGCCTGGAAGAATAGTATTGCCCTTTTTCCTTTACAAAATATTTGGGTCTACCAGGCAATGTTGGTGCATGCCTACAATCCCACCACTTAGACATAGACAGAATATCTGTGAGTTCGAGGACAACCTGATCTACAAAGTTCCAAGACATTCAGGGCTACACAGAGAAACTGTCTCAAAAGGGGGGGGGGAGGTTGAGCCAAGAAAGTTGAGGAATCTTAAGTCTGTGGTGTTTATATAGTGTTTATATGCGGTGGGGCTTCAAAGACACATCTCCAAGAATTTAAAAGCAAGTAATTATTCACGTGAAAATCAAACTCTCCCCAAAGAAGATGTTGTCAGATGTTAACTGTTATCTTAGGTATGGCTGAAAATGGTCCCTTTGGCACAGATGATTGACAGGCTAAATTGCACCAGCACGTGCCTGGATTGAAATTTATTTTCCAAGACTTGACCAACTGTATTAGCAATTTGCTCTACCAAGAATAAAAGAAATATTCTGGATTTTACAATGGCTAAATATTTTTCACTTTGGAGTTAGTCTTTATTTTTTCTTTTCTAGAAAACAAGTTATTGGTATCATCCAAGTCTAGATTTTACATGTTATTCAAGTAATGGAAGTGTAACCTGTTACATTAAGGTGAATAGCAAAGTAAAGTCATAAGCTATCTTTAGAAAGGAGGGAAGTAAATAAGCCACATCTTTGAAGCTTTTCTGTGGCCGTCTAAGTGGCTGTTCAAGACGTCCTGCATTCTTTGGCATCATTCAGTTTGTGTATGTACTTTCAGCCTGCTCATATGTCTGTGTTTTAGAAGATTTTAGCATCTGAATATGGGGCATTTAACCGGCCAGCTGAACTTTACTGGTTAATTTTGTTTTATTTTGTCTGAGATAGGGTTTCACAGTTCATCCTAGCTGGCCCCAGGCTTAACCATGTAGACCAGGCTATCTCCTGCAGTGATCATGCTGCCTAATTATGTTCAGAGAATGTTGTAGTAAGTAGTAATATTAAATGTAACATGAAGGGTTAGGAAAAGAGTTTCCTGAGACAACAATGAAGGAAGCCTTGAGGAATCAGAATGAATTTGCAAATCTGTCTGGGTGCTATGGAGTAGCCTGGGTGGCTCTTTAATTCTTTTGTAAGTAAAAAGCTCAACATCCCCCCCTTATGTTTTTCTCTTCTAGATTGTCAAAAGAGTGGGAACTAGTGAGGAAACCCCCATGATTGGTGACAAAGTTTATGTCCACTACAAAGGAAAATTGTCAAATGGGAAGAAGTTCGATTCCAGTCGCGATAGAAATGAACCATTTGTCTTTAGCCTTGGCAAAGGTAAGAGGTAATTTTTGCAATGTTGCTTAGACTCATTTGTAGTTGTATTCTGTAGAAGGGGTGGAGCCTGTCCCTGGCAAGTGTGGCCCACAGATTCCTTAGGTGTCTCCAAGATCCTTTGGAAGCCATGATAGCAGTTCTTTTCTTAACAGTGGGAAGAGGGTGTCTTTATGACTGACTGACATTTGCAGTGACAGACTAACACCTGCAGAGGCACAAGCTGCTGGTCCCTCATTGTGGGTCAGGACAGAGACGGACAGCCATCTCTGCTAGCAATCACTGTATTATCCCTGTCTCTCCCTTGCTGTTTATACAAAGCGGGATGTCTGGTTTCACCCCCAGGGCTTGATAAGTCAGCACATTATTTATTACACTTTCTAAACCTAGTCTCAAGATTCACATGGTGCTGCTGCTGTGTAGGAGAGCGGTACTAAGCAGAGCCCTTGTGTGCACCCTCATCTTTGGGGAGCCTGCCGCACTGTAGCTGGAAACTGACATAGCTTAGTGTTTTCATAAACACCATTTGACTTGAAAGGGCAGGCTATGATTATTCAGACTTGGCAGATATTTCCTGAAATTGAATGAAGTACACCTGCCACTTTGAGGAAGACAGCTAACAATGTTTGTTGCCATTGCATTTTCAGGTAAAAGTTTTTAAGGATTTGTGTCTGCTGTGTGCTTATAGCTTCCTGAAACATAAGGCTTTATTCTGTGAGAGCAGTAGGTATTAATGAGTGTGGTTTTTTTCTGCTAGGCAGTAAAATGTGTCTCTATTAGAGTATCCTCCTAACTCAGCCATCTATATAAGGTCAGGTGTGGATAAGCAGTCCATTCAAACTGTAAACTGGACCAGTGGTTTTGGCTCAGCACAGTATATGAGGAGACCTTCGATGAGATTTCAGATTCCACATGGCAGCTGACCTTTTGACCCTCTTGTTCACTTCTGATAGTCACCTGAGAATTCCGTGACTCTGCTTTCCTGCCATTCCCTAGCTCTGAGGGTTTGCACACTTTTTCCACATCTTCAGTCAGAAGTAAGCAAATGAGTTCATCTTGGCTTACATTAAATGAAACACATTTCATCGTTTTTTATGTCATTAGAAATGACAACTGAGGACTGGACTGTTGTTCAGTGGCTAGAATGCTCCCCTAGCATCCACAGAACCTGAGTTTGATCTTTTGGTGTAGTGGCACAGGCCTGTAATCCCAGCACTTGGGAGATTGGAGGCAGGAGGATCAGAAGCACAGAACAAAGAAACACAAGCCAGGCATAGTGGTGGCACTCATCCTAACAGTTGAGAGGTGTCCTAGTTAGGGTTTCTATATCGTTGGATAAACACCATGACCAAAGCAAGCTGGGGAGGAAAGGGTTTATTTGGTTTACACTTCCATATTGTAGTCCATCACTGAAGGAAGTCAGGACAGGAACTCAAACAGGGCAGGAACTAGAGGCAGGAGCTTATGCGGAGGTCATGAGGGTGCTGCTTACTGGCTTATTCCCATGCTATGCTCAGCTTTCTTAAAGAACCCAGGACTAACAGCCTAGAAATGGCCCCACCCACAATAGGCTGGACCCTCCCACTAAGAAAATTCCCTATAAGCCTCCCTACAGCCTGATCTTAAGGAGGCATATTTTCTTAATTGAAGTTCCCTCCTCTTAGGTGACTCTAGCTTGGGTCATGTTGATATCAAACCAGCTAGCACAGGAGGCATGATAGGACTGTAAGTTGGACTTTACAACAAGCCTGTCTCAGAAAAAGAGAAAAAAAAATAGCTGAGCTATTTAGATTTTAATTAATACTTTATAACATTAGCTACTTCATCAAAAATAAAAAATAATACAAAGGGAAAGTAGTGTAAATACTGTCTATGGGGCCGAAGAGATGGCTCAGAGGGTAAGAGCACTGACTGTTCTTTCAAAAGTCCTGAGTCCAGTTCCCAGCAACCACATGGCGGCTCACAACCATTTGTAATGAGAACAAGTGCCCTCTTCCAGCCTGCAGGCAGAACACTATGCATAATTAGTAAATAAATCCTTTAAAAAAAATACTATCTATGAGCTCACTAATTCCTTCTAGTATACCTCTCCCAAGGGGATGCATAGAAATATTTCAAAAAGAAAAGGTCCATGCTAATTTTGGGATTCTAATTTGACTTTACTGTTTTATTTTGAGGCATTATCTTTTCTGTGTAGCCCTGGCTGTCCTGAAACTTGCTCTGAAGACCAGGCTGGCCTCGAACTCATAACCACTTGCCCTTGCCAACTAAGTGCTGGAATTAAAGGTGTAGGCCATCACACCCAGCTGGACATTAGTATTTAAATGGAACTATTATGAGCCTGACTATAAAAGCTTCATTGAAAAAATGTGCATAAAGCACTTGTACACTGCTCGTGTGCCCATTACCTTCTCTGTACTATCTTTTAGACTCTGTCTTTCATCATCTTCACTGGAAATAATTGTGTGCTATTACTATAGACTATTTCATAATGCTGAGATGAAAAGAATGCATACCATTGCATAGATCAGCCTAACATAGTGCACACTTGGGTGTTTATTATTGTTATTACATCAAAAGGTTATTGGCTGGCTTTAAAGTTTTTACTGCAGTTACAATAAAAACTATTGTAATGACTTATGTCGTAATTCTTACCGTGGAGGCATATAAACCTTCTGAAACAATGCTTTGCCAGCCTCTTTGTGTCAGGAAATTGGGAAAGAAAAACTGAATCAGTCTATGAACTGGTTGTTACCACTGTGGAGTGTGTTACAGGATAGGGTGGGAGGAATAGTTTCCCTTGTGGGTTTATTGTTATTTTTGTTTTGGGTGGTATTATCAAAATCCATTCTTTCTCAGAAGCATTCTTCCTTGATTGTGAAGTACTAAGTAAAATAAAGCAAGTACTTTCTTAAAGTTTCTTGTCTATCCATGTCACATTTTGGGGGTTAGAAAAATTAAATATCTAGTTTTTCTAACATTGTTATCGTTCAGAAGAGTTTTTTTTTTTTTATACAGTGTCTCTCGTCTCCCTTGTTAGAAATATATCCTTTCATTTAAAGTACAAGTTTGTTTAGAATCTGATAGCATGAAAGGGTCTCTGTTTATGTATGACAAGACGGAAGTACAAAGAAGTTATGTGTGGTGTTTGTTCACTTGAGCACAATGACTCAGCCGTGACTCAAACCCTGGGTACTGTTTCTTAAGTTTCGTCAGACCTTAGGTGTGAATAGCCTATCCAGGTTTAAGAAGAGCCCACAGCGTGTGCCCTGGGCCTGCTCCACAGCAGCTGCTTTTCTTCTGGAAGTGATGTTTGTAGTTTGTAGAGTTTATAAGAAGCAGAATGTATGCTCTTGCTTGATGATATTGTAAAGTTAATGTGTACTTTAAAAGAAGTGTTGTATTTATCTCATGATACTAAGCCTGAAAGACATTTTATACCAGTCAGATATGCTTACTAGAAAGGACTGGGTATGTACCCAATGTCAAGAACTGTCTGTGGTATAGCCATGTGGTTCTTTAGTTCCCATTGATGCTCTTATTCCTCTGTAAATACCTCATGTGTTTCCTTTTCCCTGTGGTTCAGGAGTACACTAGTTGTGTAAGGAAAGCTTAGGGTCTGGCATAGTTCACTTTCCCTCTGAGATGTCACCACTTCCATGCTAGCAGATTTTAATGTTTCTAAGAAATAATGAATTAGTAACTCAGTGTGGAATAAAGATCAAGACCTATAAGCAAAAACTGATAGTGCCAGAAGAAAACACATGAAATGTTTCATGCCATTAGATTTGGCAGTAATTTTAGGGAAATAACAACACCAGAACTTCAACACAAAAGTTAAACCATTTCCTCTTCATTACAGATACAGTAGCTGAAGGATTTTCAGAATGAGAAGGAGCTCCTCTAAAGCATGACTAGGAAGGAGCTGGTCTCTAGGTGTACAGTGTACATGCTCAATACAACAAAGTCTTTAAAAAGTGAAGGGGAGGTCAGGGTCACACATGCCTGCAGTCCACTCTGGAAGCTGAGATAGGAGGATTGCTCAAGCCTAGGAGTTTAAGGCCAGTCTAGTTTCAGGAGAGCAGACATACAGGTGGCCAAATGACATGGAAGGGTACTCAGCACCATTTGTCACTAAGCAGTGCAAGCCAAGCCCAGGGTGATGACATACCTTACACACCAGGATGGATGCTGTTTAAGAGAAGGAGAGACAGAAGCATTGACAGGGATGTGGAGACATAGGAACGTTTCTGCTCTCTTGGAAGGTAGGATGATGCCACCTTTATAAAAGACATAGCCCAGCACACAGGAGGCAGAGGCAGGTAGATCTGAGTTCAAGGCCAGCTTGGTCTATATAATGAGTTCCTGCACAGCCAGGGCTACACTGAAACCTTGTCTCAACCTCCCCCCTCCAAAAAAAAAAAAATTAGGGGCTAGAGAGATGGCTCAGTGAAGAGCACTGGCTGCTCTACCATAGGACTTGGGTTTAATTCCCAGCACCACATGGCAGCACACAACTGTCTGTAGCTCTAGGGCCCTCACACAGATATACATGTAGGCAAAACACCAATACATATAAACTAGAAGTAAGTCATTAACATTAAAAAAAAAAAAAAAAGAAACACAAAAGACTCATCTATGATCCAGCAGTCTACTTCTGGATAGGTATCCAAAAGAACTGTGTGAAGGGCCTCATGTTTACACATATTCACGGCACATTAGTCACCATGATCAAAATGTGCAAGCATCCAAAGTACCCATCAGCTGGTGACGGACAGACAGACACTGTGGTGCAGCTTTACAGTGTCAGCAGGTGACAGATAGACACTGTGTGCTGTGTAGCCCGACAGTCAGTTATGTCTCCATCTTAAGAAAGAAGGGAAGTCTGGCACATATTACACCAGTGGTCAGCTCCCAAAGACATTATGCTAAATGAATGCTTTGTGACTCCACTTGTATTAAGTGTTTATAGAGTGGTGCATTTCAAAAAGCAGAAAGAGTGA